CACCTGGAGTCAATGGATGTCTGCAATCTGGCTTCACAGACAGTTTCCACCTTGACATATGTGTTTACCATGATCATGTATATTTATAGGCAGATACATAAACACTGCATGAGTGTCCAATAGATCATATTTGGTCTAACCAACTCCCAGTGAGTGGAAGGTTTTTCATCATCAATAATTTCATACAAATTTTTAATTCCTCCATACGACCAAGAACAGGGCATGTTTTTTCTTTCTTCACATTTGAACATGCACAATTTGGTGCAAGCACCATGAATGTAAATTCAGATGTTAATGACATCTTCATTTCATGTCATAGCCAATATTGATACATATCCTTTACCTGTCGTGTACTAATGTACACAGATGCTGTAGTGTTGGGCATGTGTATAGTTGTAAGTCACGCCGAGGACCCGAGTTCAATTCCCACATGCATATGGATACAAGGTGTGCAGCTCATTCTTGCAGTGATTTGACAACTATAAAATTAATATTGATATTAATTTTTCGCATTAAAACCTGACATTACTCATTTAACAGCTGAAAAACTTCATTTTTCTATTTTTTGATGGAATAACCAAGACGTAATTGTTGAAGTGGTCCCTTTATACCTAAGGCCGACAGGTTTGTATTAAACGTAATCAGCTATCAATAATAAGCCATTATACTCGCAGTTGTACCATGGACTGTACAACTTGAATTTTGTTAATAACATAATTCAGTTGTCAGTAAAGTAGATGCATTTGATAGGGGTATGCAATTAAAAGGACAAACATTTTATTATGTTTTATCATTTTATTATCAAGCTGACGTCAAAAACCTGGACTCCCATTTTCCATCGTCAGTCCGGAATACCATCCAAACTCTCATCATCAATATTGTAATGGCTAAACTTCAACGTTTCTCATACAAGCAGATACTTATTTAATGTTTCGTTTTAAGTATACACGACTTTATCGTTTGAGAGATACATAGAAAACATCATTTTTTCGCATCACTGACAGAAACCGCAGGTATCTGGTATTAAAATTGTGTTATTTTGAATGTTTATTGAAGATGAGCTTTCTCTACTAAAAATTGTATTTTTTCATATATATAGACAAGGATGCCGGATACAAATTGCATCTTTTAATTTTAAGGGACCATTTGTTTGTACTACGCACGTGATATTTAGCTGAACGTTTATTATGAAAAGAAAACCTAAAAACATAATTGTCAACAATAGAGTTGTCATACTTTCCCTTTCTTAACATACAAACACAAAAATACTGTTTTCTAGTCGCATTGCCGTCAACATATTGTATCATTCATGTTCAAATGTCGAGTCCCATGAACCTCCACCGGAACCTTGGTCAGGGCATGTGTGGGGCAGTGAGAAACTGATCGCGATCGCTGTTTCGCTGTGAGGAATTATGAAAGGTGCTCGATGAAGCGAACGTAAAATATTGCTTTCCATGTGTGTTCTGCAGCGTCTCTGTGCTCACTTTATGCTGCCTAAAAGAGCGTCTGACAATGTTCTCTGTGCTCACTTTATGCTGCCTAAAAGAGCGTCTGACAATGTTCTCTGTGCTCACTTTATGCTGCCTAAAAGAGCGTCTGACAATGTTCTCTGTGCTCACTTTATGCTGCCTAAAAGAGCGTCTGACAATGTTCTCTGTGCTCACTTTATGCTGCCTAAAAGAGCGTCTGACAATGTTCTCTGTGCTCACTTTATGCTGCCTAAAAGAGCGTCTGACAATGTTCTCTGTGCTCTCTTTATGCTGCCTAAAAGAGCGTCTGACAATGTTCTCTGTGCTCACTTTATGCTGCCTAAAAGAGCGTCTGACAATGTTCTCTGTGTTCAGTTTATGCTGCCTAAAAGAGCGTCTGACAATGTTCTCTGTGCTCACTTTATGCTGCCTAAAAGAGCGTCTGACAATGTTCTCTGTGCTCTCTTTATGCTGCCTAAAAGAGCGTCTGACAATGTTCTCTGTGCTCACTTTATGATGCCTTAAAGAGCGTCTGACAATGTTCTCTGTGCTCACTTTATGATGCCTAAAAGAGCGTCTGACAATGTTCTCTGTGCTCACTTTATGCTGCCTAAAAGAGCGTCTGACAATGTTCTCTGTGCTCACTTTATGCGGCCTAAAAGAGCGTCTGACAATGTTCTCTGTGCTCACTTTATGCTGCCTAAAAGAGCGTCTGACAATGTTCTCTGTGCTCACTTTATGCCGCCTAAAAGAGCGTCTGACAATGTTCTCTGTGCTTACTTTATGCTGCCTTAAAGAGCGTCTGACAATGTTCTCTGTGCTCACTTTATGCTGCCTAAAATAGCGTCTGACAATGTTCTCTGTGCTCACTTTATGCTGCCTAAAAGAGCGTCTGACAATGTTCTCTGTGCTCACTTTATGCTGCCTAAAAGAGCGTCTGACAATGTGCCATCTTTATGATACCTCTAAACAATTTCAATTTTAAAGGCTTAAATGGACAGATTTCATAATTATGTTTTTCACTCATATAGCACAGAAAAAAAGTCATGCATTTCTTTACGTCCTTTATTTTAGCTGATTCCTCCTCAACGGTGATCACCATTTGGTCCCTTTACCGGTAGCCTTCCCCATAGCATTATGTCGTTCAGATATGAGGTTGAAGTTTGTTCGCTCACAGTTCACCTAAAGATGTAAAAAAAAGATATTGTCGCGGAGTACCTTTTGCGGTATACGATAAAAAGAGGCGAGATTCGCTGGTCTTACTAGTCACACAAAAAACTCGGACAACACACCAGAGGTAGAACCAGTACCGCGCGAAGTAAGTTAACGTTTTCACAACCTATAAAATGTGCGTAAAAAAATAACTCGGCTTTGGTGATTAGAACGTTACGCATGAGCATTCATAACCGGATCTGGTACAAATTTGTACCACAACATTTGGTCGCCGCCTGTTGGCTAAGCTAAGCTTGCGTCGCGTACCAACAGTGGAACCAGTTTAACCAAATCCTGAAGTGATATCAAACCACAGTTTACTGGTGACTGACATTCCCTAATTTTGGACATATCCCCATGAGAAATGGCCTCCTGATGGAATGCGTTGTCAAGGCCAAGTTGTTTTACTTTTCTCAATATGTCGAGAAGCATATTGTAGGCTCTATGGACGGCTTGGTCTTGCAAACTGTTAATATTCCGCTCATACGGTGGAAAGCGAATGTGATGATGTACCGCTACTCTCAGAGCTCCCATACTCTCATACCCACAGATAATGATTCTGAATAAAACTGGCCGTCTGCAGGACGGACTTCCGCGTAAAAGTGCCTTAGATTCTGCAACTGGAAGTGATTCAAAATCAGTGTATTTTCCATTTTCTTTCAGCCATTCTGAATGGGAAATAATTTAAAAAAATACATATCAGGTAGGAGTATAATTCAGGTCTAATGGTTAATTTTGCAGATAAATAATTATACAGAGTCTAGATCCATTCATTTGGAGCTACGTGGTTTAATCATTCAATTTTATTGACTTTTCTATTCTATGAATAGGCCTAGATTTTCCTGTAGTTGATTTATTATCGATAAAAGTAAGTCTATAGATAGTACTTTAGTAGCTATACATCACGTACCTGTAAAATATTTTCTCACGTGTGCTTTTTGGCCTCCCTCCCAGGAAAATTGAATCTAGGCTTCCCGCGTCAATTGTTGCAAAGCGGCTTGCCGTTGATGATTTTGACGTTTCAATCTCCTCCTTGGTGTCTGTTGGAAATATTTTGTAACTAATTACCAATCGCAAACAAATTAATGTACTCAGAAGAATACTATATAGTTCAAGCAATGTAATTGACAATGGGGTCGTGACTGAATCAAGTTTTCCAAATGAAATTATTTTTTTGAGAAAAATATTATTCACGGCCTAAATCGGTAGTTTTAAATTAACTTTACAGCCTTTATAATTATCTCATACTACCGCTGATTTCAAAGCATGACCACCCCCCTCTCCCCCCCCCCCCACCCCACCCCCCCCCCTCCCTCCTCCCCCCCCACCCCCCCCTCCATATATATATGGTTTTGTTTGAATTATTACCCAGAGTGTCTATTTTTATGTGGACTGAAGACTTTCTTCGGCGTTCGATGTCGATGTAGATCTAGGCCTCGTCGTCATGGTCAGTGGCCATATCCTCAACAAAATCTGATGATAAATTCAATTAAATATGTTATTAATTTTACAATTATTAGCATCATCTAGTAAGCCATGATATGGAATTAACGTAACAAAATATTTTTTGCTGAAGCTTAAGAAAAGCAGACGATCTTTAACCAAGTTCGACTGAATATTGTTTCTCTGCTTGTGGAGTAATTTGTTTACATATATTCACCTAATTCTGTGATTTACGCAAGTAATGAGTTGAGCTTATCGTCACTATATCCATCCAACAGATGGGAAATTTCCGACAGTAAAATCGCTGTAATCCATCGTCGTATCGGTAGTTTGTTTGATGTCTGCCATGTTGGTGGGCAAACGAATATCGTGTATTGCCGTAATATATGTATAATTGCCCAACCGAAAATCAGAGACCTGTCAATTGTGATCATGTACCTCTGACTGACTTTAATTAACCAATCAGAATCAAGTGTTTACTCCATGGTAGAATTGATGTTGTGTACGGGCGTTAGATATTAAATTATCTAATTTCTTTGGAATCTATTTTGGATTTTTCTCGACAATAGTATGATCAACTTTTGCATATTTTGCCTCGATGTGTCATCGGCAATCTGCCCTAGATTTATTAACTACGAATGCAAATAAACGTTTTTGAGTGAAAATAATTATAACAAGGTGCTCTGCTAATGTTAATTTTGTCGAGACCACTTTTACTTCGCAAACAAACTTAACGTAATCCACTATTAAAATTATTTATTTTCATTCTATACCGAGGTCCAATGAATGAAATGTTTAGTGTCGCCCAATCGTAGCCTACGACAAATCGGCCGCCGCCTGTCTACAAGACTAGTTTAGGTAGACATGAGCCCAGTCTATGGTTTGGTCGCCGAGGTTGCGAAAATTAATAAGAATTATCTCAGACTTCGATTACCGTTAAAACAGACGATGTCGGGGTAGATTACACTCGTTCTAAACAGAGCGGAGAAACAGCACCCGAAGAAAATATATTATCACAAGAACGATCGAATCATACGGAAACAACCGATGTGTTAGCGTTAGGCTATTAACAGAACGGGTTTTTCCAAGTGTCACTTTGAAGCGTGGCTGTAAAATGGCAGGTGAGTGGAACGCTGTGTCAAGCTTTGTTCATCGTTTAGGCCAAACATTAAACTGCAGAGCCTCTGGGGATGCGTGTGTGTTAACTGTTATCTCAGATCATTACCCAGCTTAGCCTACATATATCCACAGAGAACGGTCAGCACGTACCGTTCAGACAGAAGGAGGGTACGTCGTCTCTATTTATATCATAGTCATATGATAGTGGGTGTTCTTCTTGCTCCACAGATGCTCAAAACCATTTTTAGTGTCAAATCATAAACAGGAATGTTGCTGGACACACGGCAACTAAATCTTTGTCACAGTTAAGGTCCTTAGTGATCCTACCTACAATCAACTGTCACTCAAATATAAAGTAGATAATTATAAGTCATTTAGTTTATTCATTTTCAGTTACCATCACCAGGGATCATATATATATCGGTATATGGTGTCTGCCATCACACATGCAATAAGCCAGAAATGTGTGTATGATCCAAAACCCTTGCAAGCGAATTTATTCATAATAGGAATATTGTTTAAAGTTCTTAATTTCTTGGAAGTATTTCAGCTTCGCACTCAATGTAATTGTTAATGTAAAACTAAACATTAGCCAGGTACTTCCCTCTTTACTAGTCCCCTGTATAAAGACTCATCATTAGTTATAACTTGCATAAGATGAATTTGGAAAATTAGTACTTCCTAAGACTTTGGATTGAGTCTCTGTCTTTGTGCACGGTGAGATACATCCCTGTAAAAAGCAGTTCCTTTAGCGCGGAATGAAATAATAAGCAAACTAATTAACCAGTCAGTGCTCAGACTTACAGAAGTGTCAGGTAGATCTAGTTACATACTAGTTTGAAGGTAGAACATATCCTACATATTGTTGTGTTGTCTCCTTGTTGAGCAGATAAAGATGAAATAATATTGTATGCCTAGAAGACTTTGCAGTCTTTAGTTAGGATTGTCTTGTATTTATTGTCTCAAACCGAAACCCCCTTGAATGCTCGTCATGCTGAAGACTGGGTTTGATTCCCCGCATGGGCATAATGTGTGAAGCCCATTTCTGGTGTTCCCTGCTGTGATGTTGCTGGAATATTGCTGAAAGCGGAGTAAAACCATACTCACTCACTCACTCTGGGTGTCCTGTTCCCTTGTTCACATGAGTGAGTGAGTGAGTTGGATTTTTACACCAGAAATGGACTTGTTCACATGATCATCAGATGATTGAATATGTTTATGACAAGTCCTACATTCAGTCTAAGGGACACATGACTATACTGTGTTGACAGTCTTCACTGTTGGCAAGTGAGCAACATACATGAGTAACTCAGTGCACAGGAGAGACCACTGTTACTTCCTGTAAACCTGCATTCTGTTTTGTCAGCAAATATACAAGGTTCATGTGTTTCATTTTTGTTGTGCGACTTTTGTTCCAGACAATCCTTACGGTGATGGAGGGACGAAGGAGTGGGACTTCAGTAACCGTGGTAACTCAAGGGTTGACAGCTCAAGGTCGAGGGGTGTTAACACAAGGTCAAGTTTTGACAACATGAAGTCAATGGCAGACAATAGCGCTATTGCTCAGTTGGATAAGATGGGTAAGTTTTAGACTCAGTCATTGATGTGTACTTGTAGAAATATCAACTACTCTATTGGCAAGAAAGGTTCTTGTAAGAGACGCTTCTACAAGGGAGTACCCTGGGTATAATAGGGAATACCCTGGGTATAATAGGGAATACCCTGGGTGTAATAGAGAGTACCCTGGGTATAATAGGGAGTACCCTGGGTATAATAGAGAGTACCCTGGGTATAATAGGGAGTACCCTGGGTATAATAGGGAATACACTGGGTGTAATAGGGAGTACCCTGGGTATAATAGGGAGTACCCTGGGTATAATAGGGAGTACCCTGGGTGTAATAGGGAGTACCCTGGGTATAATAGGGAGTACCCTGGGTATAATAGGGAATACCCAGGGTATAATAGGGAGTACCCTGGGTATAATAGGGAGTACCATGAGTGTAATAGGGAATACCCTCGGTATAATAGGGACTACCATAGGTGTAATAGGGAGTACCCCGGGTATAATAGGGAATACCGAAGGGTATAATAGGGAGTACCCTGGGTATAATAGGGAGTACCCTGGGTATAATAGGGAATACCCTCATGATAATAGGGAGTACCCTTGGTATCATAGGGAGTACACTGGGTATAATAGGGAATACCCTGGGTATAATATGGAGTACTCTGGGTATAATAGGTAGTACCCTGGTACAATAGGGAGTACCCTGGGTATAATAGGGAATACCCTCATGATAATAGGGAGTACCCTTGGTATCATAGGGAGTACCCTGGGTATAATAGGGAGTACACTGGGTATAATAGGGAATACCAAGGGTATAATAGGGAGTACACTGGGTATAATAGGGAATACCCAGGGTATAATAGGGAGTACACTGGGTATAATAGGGAATACCCAGGGTATAATAGGGAGTACCCTGGGTATAATAGGGAGTACCCTGGGTATAATAGGGAGTACCATGAGTGTAATAGGGAATACCCTCGGTATAATAGGGAATACCATAGGTGTAATAGGGAGTACCCCAAGTATAATAGGGAATACCGAAGGGTATAATAGGGAGTACCCTGGGTATAATAGGGAGTACCCTGGGTATAATAGGGAATACCCTCATGATAACAGGGGGTACCCTTGGTATCATAGGGAGTACACTGGGTATAATAGGGAATACCCTGGGTATAATATGGAGTACCCTGGGTATAATAGGGAGTACCCTGGGTATAATAGGGAGTACCATGAGTGTAATAGGGAATACCCTCGGTATAATAGGGAATACCATAGGTGTAATAGGGAGTACCCCGGGTATAATAGGGAATACAGAAGGGTATAATAGGGAGTACCCTGGGTATAATAGGGAGTACCCTGGGTATAATAGGGAATACCCTCATGATAATAGGGAGTACACTGGGTATAATAGGGAATACCCCGGGTATAATAGGGAATACCCTCATGATAATAGGGAGTACACTGGGTATAATAGGGAGTACCCTGGGTATAATATGGAGTACCCTGGGTATAATAGGGAGTACCCTGGGTATAATAGGGAGTACACTGGGTATAATAGGGAATACCCTGGGTATAATATGGAGTACCCTGGGTATAATAGGTAGTACCCTGGTACAATAGGGAGTACCCTGGGTATAATAGGGAGTACCCTGGGTATAATAGGGAGTACCCTGGGTATAATAGGGAATACCCTCATGATAATATGGAGTACCCTTGGTATCATAGGGAGTACACTGGGTATAATAGGGAATACCCTGGGTATAATATGGAGTACCCTGGGTATAAAAGGTAGTACCCTGGTACAATAGGGAGTACCCTGGGTAGAATAGGGAATACCCTCATGATAATAGGGAGTACCCTTGGTATCATAGGGAGTACCCTGGGTATAATAGGGAGTACCCTGGGTATAATAGGGAATACCCTCATGATAATAGGTAGTACACTGGGTATAATAGGGAATACCCTGGGTATAATATGGAGTACCCTGGGTATAATAGGGAGTACACTGGGTATAATAGGGAATACCCTGGTTATAATATGGAGTACCCTGGGTATAATAGGTAGTACCCTGGTACAATAGGGAGTACCCTGGGTATAATAGGGAGTACCCTGGGTATAATAGGGAGTACCCTGGGTATAATAGGGAATACCCTCATGATAATATGGAGTACCCTTGGTATCATAGGGAGTACACTGGGTATAATAGGGAATACCCTGGGTATAATATGGAGTACCCTGGGTATAAAAGGTAGTACCCTGGTACAATAGGGAGTACCCTGGGTAGAATAGGGAATACCCTCATGATAATAGGGAATACCCTGGGTATAATATGGAGTACCCTGGGTATAATAGGGAGTACCCTGGGTATAATAGGGAATACCCTCATGATAATAGGTAGTACACTGGGTATAATAGGGAATACCCTGGGTATAATATGGAGTACCCTGGGTATAATAGGGAGTACACTGGGTATAATAGGGAATACCCTGGGTATAATATGGAGTACCCTGGGTATAATAGGTAGTACCCTGGTACAATAGGGAGTACCCTGGGTATAATAGGGAGTACCCTGGGTATAATAGGGAGTACCCTGGGTATAATAGGGAATACCCTCATGATAATATGGAGTACCCTTGGTATCATAGGGAGTACACTGGGTATAATAGGGAATACCCTGGGTATAATATGGAGTACCCTGGGTATAATAGGTAGTACCCTGGTACAATAGGGAGTACCCTGGGTATAATAGGGAGTACCCTGGGTATAATAGGGAGTACCCTGGGTATAATAGGGAATACCCTCATGATAATATGGAGTACCCTTGGTATCATAGGGAGTACACTGGGTATAATAGGGAATACCCTGGGTATAATATGGAGTACCCTGGGTATAAAAGGTAGTACCCTGGTACAATAGGGAGTACCCTGGGTAGAATAGGGAATACCCTCATGATAATAGGGAGTACCCTTGGTATCATAGGGAGTACCCTGGGTATAATAGGGAGTACCCTGGGTATAATAGGGAATACCCTCATGATAATAGGTAGTACACTGGGTATAATAGGGAATACCCTGGGTATAATATGGAGTACCCTGGGTATAATAGGGAGTACACTGGGTATAATAGGGAATACCCTGGGTATAATATGGAGTACCCTGGGTATAATAGGTAGTACCCTGGTACAATAGGGAGTACCCTGGGTATAATAGGGAGTACCCTGGGTATAATAGGGAGTACCCTGGGTATAATAGGGAATACCCTCATGATAATATGGAGTACCCTTGGTATCATAGGGAGTACACTGGGTATAATAGGGAATACCCTGGGTATAATATGGAGTACCCTGGGTATAAAAGGTAGTACCCTGGTACAATAGGGAGTACCCTGGGTAGAATAGGGAATACCCTCATGATAATAGGGAATACCCTGGGTATAATATGGAGTACCCTGGGTATAATAGGGAGTACCCTGGGTATAATAGGGAATACCCTCATGATAATAGGTAGTACACTGGGTATAATAGGGAATACCCTGGGTATAATATGGAGTACCCTGGGTATAATAGGGAGTACACTGGGTATAATAGGGAATACCCTGGGTATAATATGGAGTACCCTGGGTATAATAGGTAGTACCCTGGTACAATAGGGAGTACCCTGGGTATAATAGGGAGTACCCTGGGTATAATAGGGAGTACCCTGGGTATAATAGGGAATACCCTCATGATAATAGGGAGTACCCTTGGTATCATAGGGAGTACACTGGGTATAATAGGGAATACCCTGGGTATAATATGGAGTACCCTGGGTATAATAGGTAGTACCCTGGTACAATAGGGAGTACCCTGGGTATAATAGGGAGTACCCTGGGTATAATAGGGAGTACCCTGGGTATAATAGGGAATACCCTCATGATAATATGGAGTACCCTTGGTATCATAGGGAGTACACTGGGTATAATAGGGAATACCCTGGGTATAATATGGAGTACCCTGGGTATAAAAGGTAGTACCCTGGTACAATAGGGAGTACCCTGGGTAGAATAGGGAATACCCTCATGATAATAGGGAGTACCCTTGGTATCATAGGGAGTACCCTGGGTATAATAGGGAGTACCCTGGGTATAATAGGGAGTACCCTGGGTATAATAGGGAATACCCTCATGATAATAGGTAGTACACTGGGTATAATAGGGAATACCCTGGGTATAATATGGAGTACCCTGGGTATAATAGGGAGTACACTGGGTATAATAGGGAATACCCTGGGTATAATATGGAGTACCCTGGGTATAATAGGTAGTACCCTGGTACAATAGGGAGTACCCTGGGTATAATAGGGAGTACCCTGGGTATAATAGGGAGTACCCTGGGTATAATAGGGAATACCCTCATGATAATATGGAGTACCCTTGGTATCATAGGGAGTACACTGGGTATAATAGGGAATACCCTGGGTATAATATGGAGTACCCTGGGTATAAAAGGTAGTACCCTGGTACAATAGGGAGTACCCTGGGTAGAATAGGGAATACCCTCATGATAATAGGGAATACCCTGGGTATAATATGGAGTACCCTGGGTATAATAGGGAGTACCCTGGGTATAATAGGGAGTACCCTGGGTATAATAGGGAATACCCTCATGATAATAGGTAGTACACTGGGTATAATAGGGAATACCCTGGGTATAATATGGAGTACCCTGGGTATAATAGGGAGTACACTGGGTATAATAGGGAATACCCTGGGTATAATATGGAGTACCCTGGGTATAATAGGTAGTACCCTGGTACAATAGGGAGTACCCTGGGTATAATAGGGAGTACCCTGGGTATAATAGGGAGTACCCTGGGTATAATAGGGAATACCCTCATGATAATATGGAGTACCCTTGGTATCATAGGGAGTACACTGGGTATAATAGGGAATACCCTGGGTATAATATGGAGTACCCTGGGTATAAAAGGTAGTACCCTGGTACAATAGGGATCGAGTACCCTGGGTAGAATAGGGAATACCCTCATGATAATAGGGAGTACCCTTGGTATCATAGGGAGTACCCTGGGTATAATAGGGAATACCCTGGGTATAATAGGGAGTACCCTGGGTATAATAGGGAATTCCCCCTGGGTGTTATAGGTAGTACCCTGGTACAATAGGGAGTATCCTGGGTATACCGTATTTTCTTGAGTATAGTGCGCACCCATGTATAATGTGCACCCCCCTCTAGCAGATTCAATATTTTGGAAAAAAAGAAATTTGAATATTATGCGCAGAAAAAAAATTACACCGTACCCCTTCAGCGAAGTCCGGCAAACGAACGGGTGATGAGAAACTTTGTCAGTACAAATTCGAAATTTGAGATAGAAAATCACCAGACATGTTGATTTACCGTTTAAATTGTATTTTTTGTTCAGCTAGGCATTGTTTTATATCCAGGGATTAAGATTACCTTGTGTGTTTTCTCGTAAACTAAGCCGGGCACAGCAATCAGCTGTACACACGTTTTCTTGGAATCTACCGGTGATTCGGTCAAGACACACCCAATGATATAACTTTACAGTATTTTAATGCAAGTATCGGCAAAAGTTGTATCTGAAACTATTTTTTATCAGGAATAATATATTCCAATATCTTGTTAATTTAGATGCAGCTTTTACTAAACATATTTAAAATAATAATAACCCTAAGCAAAGCAGCTGATCGCTATTATTTTTTACATGGAACCAGTCTGACCAGTCACCGTCAAGGGTCCCGGGCGCGTGACCGCGTGATCGCGAGAATTACGTGTTGACATAGAATCGTCCAACAAAAACAAATATGACTTTAAACGAATCAAAGTATTGCATTTATAATATATGTATCCATTCTCTGTCAACCAAAGTTTGTTTCAAGGCGTCAATAGCGGTAATCTGACCATGGTTGCTGTTTATAACGGTAAGTTGTGCGATCTTCCGATCGCTTCCCACACGATTTCGCCGAAATTAATTAAAACAATATTAAAAGGAATTTTGAATAAAATTAATGAAATAAGTTACAAACATAAGTCCAGATATACAAAGAAAATTTTTATAACCAGAAAGTGTAGATCTAATTACATGTATAACTTGCGAACTTCAGTATGGATTTGTTGACATGGTATTTCCGGTGTTACGTGCTCAGGGTAATGTCTTTCCATGGGGGAAAAAAAACATCCAAACTCATAATTCGTGTATAATGCGCACCCCCTTCTACACAGCTGTGTTTTTTGGAAAAAAAGTGCGCACTATACTCAAGAAAATACGGTAATAGGGATTACCCTGGGTATAATAGGGAGTACCCAGGGTATAATAGGGAGTATCCTGGGTATAATAGGGAGTACCCTGGGTATAATAGGGAGTACCCTGGGTATAATAGGGAGTACTATGGGTATAATAGGGAGTATCCTTGGTGTAATAGGGAGAACCCTGGGTATAATAGGGAGTACCCTGGGTATAATAGGGAGTACTATGGGTATAATAGGGATCGAGTACCCTGGGTATAATAGGGAGTACCCTGGGTATAATAGGGAGTACCCTGGGTATAATAGGGAGAACCCTGGGTATTATAGGGGGTACCCTGGGTATAATAGGGAGTACTATGGGTATAATAGGGAGAACCCTGGGTATAATAGGGAGTATCCTTGGTATAATAGGGAGTACCCTTGGTATAATAGGGAGTACCCTGGGTATAATAGGGAGTATCCTTGGTATAATAGGGAGAACCCTGGGTATAATAGGGAGTACCCTGGGTATAATAGGGAGTACTATGGGTATAATAGGGAGTATCCTTGGTATAATAGGGAGAACCCTGGGTATAATAGGGAGTACCCTGGGTATAGTAGGGAGTACTATGGGTATAATAGGGAGTACCCTGGGTATAATAGGGAGTACCCTGGGTATAATAGGGAGTACCCTGGGTATAATAGGGAGAACCCTGGGTATTATAGGGAGTACCCTGGGTATAATAGGGAGTACTATGGGTATAATAGGGAGTACCCTGGGTATAATAGGGAGAACCCTGGGTATAATAGGGAGTATCCTTGGTATAATAGGGAGTACCCTTGGTATAATAGGGAGTACCCTGGGTATAATAGGGAGTATCCTTGGTATAATAGGGAGAACCCTGGGTATAATAGGGAGTACCCTGGGTATAATAGGGAGTACTATGGGTATAACAGGGAGTATCCTTGGTATAATAGGGAGAACCCTTGGTATAATAGGGAGTACCCTGGGTATAATAGGGAGTACTATGGGTATAATAGGGAGTACCCTGGGTATAATAGGGAGTACTATGGGTATAATAGGGAGTACCCTGGGTATAATAGGGAGTACCCTGGGTATAATAGGGAGTACCCAGTTAGTACAATTGTAAGGCACCAGAGGCAGAGGCAAGATTTACAAAAAGTGGATGCACACACACTGGCAAATACTGCCTTATGCTGTTGTATATCAAAGTGGCTCACACATGCGTCTGGAGTGTGAAAACAGTTTTTTTCCCAACAGCACCATTTTCATTGAAAACCTTGGGGAGAACCAAATTTCCAGATTTACAAATAATTTGTAAAGATGAAAGACTTTTGTGATATCAGTGACATTAACGGTAACCATCTTGTGTTTCCAGTCTAATGGGGTCTAAACTAACAGCGGTTCACTGTGCGGCTAAATAAATAAAGTATCACAGTGCATGGTATGTATGTTTGTGGAGAATACCGTAGCTAGACCTTTGTATCCATGGGTGGACATGTTTCAGTCACAGACCAAGGGAGACAACTCCATGACATGGTGACTAAGGTGAGGCAGGAGAGGGTAATGGCTGATAGAGTGTTGCAGGAGAAGAACAAAGAGATTGAGCAGAAGGATGAAGAGATCCAGCAACTGAGAGGTAGGGCTCCCTTTCTATGGCTTTCTCTAAATATGAAACATGTTGGAGCAATGAAGGAGAATGCTTGAAAACAATAACTGTTCCTCTCCTTCAATTTGGTAATATCAAAGGTTGTAAAGCCAGGTATCAGAGGTTGTGGAGCAAGGTATCAGAGGTAGAGGAGTCAGGTGTCAGAGGTTGTGGAGCCAGGTATTAGAGGTTGTGGAGCCAGGTATCAGAGGTTGTGGAGCCAGGTATCAGAGGTTGTGGAGCCAGGTATCAGAGGTAGAGGAGCCAGGTATCAGAGGTTGTGGAGGCAGGTATCAGAGGTTGTAGAGCCAGGTATCAGAGGTTGTGGAGCCAGGTATCAGAGGATGTGGAGCCAGGTATCAGAGGTTGTGGAGCCAGGTATAAGAGGTAGAGGAGCCAGGTATCAGAGGTTGTGGAGCCAGGTATCAGAGGTTGTGGAGCCAGGTATAAGAGGTTGTAGAGCCAGGTATCAGAGGTTGTGGAGCCAGGTATCAGAGGTTGTGGAGCCAGGTATAAGAGGTAGAGGAGTCAGGTATCAGAGAGTGTGGAGCCAGGTATCAGAGGTTGTGGAGTCAGGTATCAGAGGTAGAGGAGCCAGGTATCAGAGGTTGTGGAGCCAGGTATCAGAGGTTGTGGAGCCAGGTATAAGAGGTTGTGGAGACAGGTATAAGAGGTAGAGGAGCCAGGTATCAGAGGTTGTGGAACCAGGTATCAGGTTGTGGAGCCAGGTATCAGAGGTTGTGGAGCCAGGTATAAGAGGTAGAGGAGTCAGGTGTCAGAGGTTGTGGAGCCAGGTATAAGAGGTAGAGGAGTCAGGTGTCAGAGGTTGTGGAGCCAGGTATAAGAGGTAGAGGAGTCAGGTATAAGAGGTAGAGGAGTCAGGTGTCAGAGGTACAGGAACCAGGTATCAAGGAGAGTGTGGGCCCAGGAACCCATTTTGCTTTATAATAGGTTATTCATATTTTTTCTTGGTCAATGACAATGAAGCACTTTAAAGGTGTAGACCCAACCAGAAGACTATTGTGACACTTATCTTTGCTTCACAGTTAATGTCAATTATGTATGAAATGACAGAATGTGCACATATAATGTCGAGATTGTATTTTTCTGAGACTGCCTGTGTTCATCCAGATGAGCTGGCATTGATGAAGAAGAAGTTTGAAGAAGTCAGTGGTAGCAGAGGCGGCAGCACGTCTCGTGGTGCTGTGGGTGCAGTTGGTGTTGGCGCTGCCGTGAGCGTGGTATGTACAGCTCATGTTCAGAGACCAGGGCACTTGGGTGTAGAGTATTGTCCTTCATAGGGCTGACAGTACATGTTCTCAGGGGGAAGATCTGACTCAAGGCACCTAGGTGTAGAGTATTGTCCTTCATAGGGCCGACAGTACATGTTCTGTGGGGGAAGACCTGACTGAAGGCACTTAGGTGTAGAGTATTGTCCTTCATAGGGCTGACAGATACATGTTCTGTGGGGGAAGACCTGACTGAAGGCACCTAGGTGTAGAGTATTGTCCTTCATAGGGCTGACAGATACATGTTCTGTGGGGGAAGATCTGACTCAAGGCACCTGATGTAGAGTATTGTCCTTCATAGGGCTGACAGTACATGTTCTGTGGGGAAAGATCTGACTGAAGGCACCTGGGTGTATAGAATTGTCCTTCATAGGGCTGACAGTACATGTTCTGTGGGGAAAGATCTGACTGAAGGCACCTGGGTGTAGAGTATTGTCCTTCATAGGGCTGACAGTACATGTTCTGTGGGGGAAGATCTGACTGAAGGCACCTGGGTGTATAGAATTGTCCTTCATAGGGCCGACAGTACATGTTCTCAGGGGGAAGATCTGACTGAAGGCACCTGGAGGTAGAGTATTGTCCTTCATAGGGCTGACAGATACATGTTCTGTGGGGGAAGATCTGACTCAAGGCACCTAGGTGTAGAGTATTGTCCTTCATAGGGCTGACAGATACATGTTCTGTGGGGGAAGATCTGACTGAAGGCACCTGGGTGTAGAGTATTGTCCTTCATAGGGCGGACAGTACATGTTCTGTTGGGGAAGATCTGACTGAAGGCACCTGGGTGTAGAGTATTGTCCTTCATAGGGCTGACAGTACATGTTCTGTGGGGGAAGATCTGACTCAAGGCACCTGGGTGTAGAGTATTGTCCTTCATAGGGCTGACATTGTTTTAACACCTACTGTGACATGGATGGGATCCAACCCCCGACCTTCCAGTCCCCCTGGCAGACACTCTAGCCACTACGCTAGACCACAGAGGCGGTCGGAAGGGAGGAGGTCCAGATTACTCAGGTTTCCATGTGGACAAATAAGCATAGTAAATGTGGGACCATTTCTTTGGTCTAGTTCTGACAGAAATCCGCTTTTAGCAATATTCAAGCAATATCACAACGGGGGACACCAGAAATGGGGTTCAACACATTGTACCGATGTGGGGATTTGAACATGTGCCTTCGTTGTGATGAACGAATGCTTTAACTACTAGGCTACCCCATCATCTCAGGAGATATGTGTCGGAGTTTGACTGGGTGGTCTTAACAGGATTATTACAGAAAGTGGTACTTATTTTTTATTTTAAATTGCACTAATGGCAGTATTTCTTGTGCAACACATTGCTTCAATATGAGGCAGTAGTCAGCCTCTCAAAGGGATGCGGTGGGGGAGGTTTATTACTGCAAATACAGTTGTTACAGACATTTTGTGTAAATTTTACCCAATATAGGTTACGTGTTAGAAGTAGTGCTTACCTGTTACACATACATGAGTTACGTGTTGCAGACTCTGTCACGCCCTCGGACCAAGGCCCTCCTGATGCCTGGCATGCAAGCTGGAGACACACTCTACAAGTTCATTGATCGGGATATCCGACCAAACCAAAAATTCAATTCTCAGTGCCTGAAAATCATTGACAAACTTGTTCGCTCTCTGCAGGCAAAAACAAGCCCCTTCAACATAAAGCGAATAGTGAAGGTACTGTCGTGCGTTGTGCCCTCCTTCCCAGAAACCGCTTGACCAAGACGGTGAAACTTAAATTTAAATGACCCAAATTTGACCTTTGCACTTTGACCTTGCTCTTCAATAAAATGCATTTCTTGGCACTAAATAACCTCATGAGATAATTTAGAAGAATTATGTAATTATGTAAATAGTTGAGAAAACTTTGAGAATATTTTTGCTTTGCATTAGGTTAGAAATAATAAATGTCATAAGATCAGCTGAATCACACTTCATGAATGCTTTACAAAATTCTAACCCCTGGATAGGTCACTATCTTCCACTGTAAGAGAAAATTGGCCGACTTCAACAATTTCCTTGCCTTATCCAAACAAGTCAGTTGTGTGAAACCACATGCGTTTTGATTGCAGGGTGGCTCCTTGGGCAAGGGGACTTCTGTGAAAGATAAGTCTGACATTGACCTGATCATCTTCTTCAATGGCTACAGTACTGTCCAGGATCTTCAGCTTGACAAGGCGAGGTTGCTGCAGCAGCTGGAGGAGTATGTCAAGAAAGACTGGTCTGAACATCTCCTTTTCAAAGGGAAGACACCCTTTTCTCTTCAGTTCTATCTGAAGATCGATGATGATGACAAGGAGCATGAGGTGGACCTTCTGCCTGCGCTGGACATCACCCAGAGTGGACGTATGTGTTGGAGCAGTTTACAATCATTCCCTGTGGCTTCATGCAGCACTTCTTTTATGGGATAAACCCCCACTTTGTCGAAGAGGTTTAATTCTAACTTGGAAACCCTAAGAAAAATCTAAAACAACATTTTCACCAATTTTTTGTTTCAAAAATTCTTTCCAAGAATAGGAAGTGATGTAAAATGTCTCTTGCCGGCCATACAGTTACTTGAAAAAGAGGTTCTTAAAAGCTTTTTGAATTATCAGCGTCTCCGTAGAATATTCCTTGGACAGAGGGAGTTTCTACAGAATATCCCTGGGAAAGTGGGATATTCTGGAGAAAGTCTATGGTGAGTGGTTATTTTCCAAAATGCAGGCCCCCGTAAAAACAGTAGGATATGACCAGAGGTTTATGAGTTGAGATGATGCACGGAAGAGAATGCTGTTTAATTTTGCTCGAATGTTCTGGACACAACACTGGGTTTTTGAAATCATGAAGTGTTGACACAATTCCAGGACATCATATTATTTATATCTCAGTTATAGCTTCATAGAAGTCTTTTGTTCACATGTCATAGCTCAAGGTTGTTCTCAAGGCCATGCCCAAGAACTAAAGAAGCATTTTCTGTAGGCCACTGAAACTTGGTATTTCTCCTCCTTTGGGCAGGCCCACAGACTGATGGACATTTGAGTGAAATCCATATGTACTCAGCAAAACAAGACCTTGTATTTAAGGTTGAGATTTGCCGACATCCATACAGAATTAATACCCAAAATGAATTGGTCATATGTGCATGGGGGGCACGGGTGGCCCAGTTGTCTAAGGCGCTGCGATTCGCTGTGCAGAGTTGCGTCCCTTGGGCACGCCAGAAACCTATGATTGTGGGTTCGAATCCCGGTTCGCCCCAATTATGTTTCTAGGTTTGTCAGCCCCATACCCGTGCTCGTGGGTTTCACCTAAGTGGTATACGTCTAAGACCTGCGTCACTTCGGGCATTCCTCCCACATAACTGGAATATAACTGGAATATTGTTAAAAGCGGCGTTAAACCCAACTCACTCACTCACTCACTCATATGTGCATGAATTGGGATTTATTTGTGTAGAAAGAATGAGGTTCTGCAGAAATTTGGTGAAAAGATGGAAAAAACGCCAAAAAACAACCATGTGAGAGTCTCGCGCCTAAACACACCAACATGACATGCACGTGCAACATCACTTGTTGGGCTATACAAATGTTGGGTTTTTATTTGCATGTCATCACAATCTTACAGCAAGTGAACAGTGAAAACACGCCACCACTGTCGGATGCCCAACACAACAAAACCATCATAGCAACACGTAGCACCAAGTATCATTACAAGACTGTGGAACCATTATCAGACACACAACAACACGTGACCTTCCCCTATCTGGTCGACCACTTATCACTACTAGAGCACAGGACAGATTCATATGGCTATGTCACTTACATGAAAGAACCACCATGGCCACTTCTACAACTACAGTGCTACCAGGATTGCGCAGGATATCAGCCCTGACCATGAGGAACCATTTACGAGCTGAACGTAATTGTGCTAGACGACTTGTTTAGATGTCATGTTGATGGACCTGCATCGTCTGCTGCAACATCAATGGTGTAGACGTCACAGTATGGCCACAACTGCGATGGAGACAAGTTGGGTTCTGTGACGAGTCACATTTTATGCTTGGCCGTGCGGATGGTAGACGTATTTACAGGCGTCGCAGGGGACATTATGTTCTAAACTGCATACAGGAGGTGGACAGATTGGTGGTCGTAGTGTGATGATGTGGGCGGAAATCATCCTACACTGGTAAAAAGACTTGGTGCACATTCTGGGGAATTTAACGGCACAACATTACATGGATGAGATTCTTTGGCCACACGTCCTTCCCATTTTGCAACAAGCGAACATCATTTTCCAACAAGACAACGCCAGACCTCACATGTCAAGAGTGACAAAAGTCTTTTTCAGGAATCACGACATTCAGGTCCTGCCAGGCCCTCCAGGTTTCCAGATTCAAACCCAATTGAACATTATGGGATGCACTGGATCAACAACTGCGAGCACGTCAGCAACAACCACAAAAACCCCAACAGTTGGCACAAGCACTGCAGGCAGAGTGGGTGAACATTCCCCTGGCCACAATTCGGGATATGATTGCTTCCATTGGACGATGATGTCAGTTTTTGACTCTAATGGTGGCCACACAAGATATTGAGAACAGATGACCTTCACCTTGAAAATCTTCTGTTCCATGTGTGCCATATGGAACCTGGGTCAATGACGATGATGTGTGCTATTTTTTAACAAGCGATTACCATTTGTTGATTATTTATGTGATATGTAAAATACATCTAAAATCACTTTTGCATTCTTTTTTTTTGGCAGAGTCCAAGGGTCACCGTGAAGGATCATAAACTATATGGGCAAACCAATGCACTATCTACTATGCCTTTTTTCTTCAGATTTAAAAAAAATGTTTGCATGCTATGGTTATTTGACATATTTGATTTTTTCATGTAATAAGAGGTGATAAAGTTGTCCTAAAACTAGTAGGTCACAGTGAGCTACTTCCCATGAGCAATGTGCCATATACTGTAGTTCTGTTGAGTCAACGGCTTAAGCCACCACACTGAAGCCCTAGTCTAGCCCTAGATGTAGTGTGACAGACCTATAATGTAAGTCTCGCAGACTACAAAGTTTTTGTTCCAAACTGTCATTTATTGTTTTCTTTATGGCCTTGAAGAATCTGTTTGACATACCGTTTATATAAGTTGATGGTGAAATTCAATCTCCATCTTCCCGAGGCAAGAGAGTTAACTGACTATAAAAGTCCGGTTTCCACCCTTGTGGAACTAGGCTGGTATTCTGGAGTTACATTTTGGCTGGACTAACAAGTCTATGCATAGTCCAATCAAAATCGCGCAACGAAATCGAAATCCGGCTCGTAAACTGTTGTGCAGATTTTGGTCGATTGCAGTGCACTGCCAACGTGTTGTCAACAGATATTTTCCAAATCTTTTCATGATTTTAATCAAGCCGCTCACATAATTTGATGCACCCATTTTAAGACCCGTTTTATCACAATACGGATCTTGATTATCGACTTGATTGTCTTGACTAGGCGCCGCCATTTTGTTTGAAAATAATGCAAGTGATACGAGAGGTGGAATCTGATTGGCATAGGAGAGGCTAAGAAGGGACATAACTCCTGTGGCCCAGGAATTCCAGCCTAGTTGGGAAAGGGTGGAAAATTGGACTTTTACAGTCAGTTAACTCCCTTGTCTCAGGAAGATATTCAATCTCAGGGTGGGAAATGTTTTTCATTACATAGAAATTCACTATAAGTGTTTAGTGTAGGTGAACTTTGTACATACAATATTTTGGATAATGCCTTTCAGTTGTAAGGTTCATTTTAAGGTCATTTGATTGAGAAGAGTGATGACAAACCAGTCTTGACTGTCTGAATGCTGTTACTACCTCTGGGTTGTTTCTGTATGGGGATACATGTGTTTGTTATACCTTTATTAAGAATCTTGCAATTCTATTGGTTAATCCGTAGCACATGATGAAACAATACTTTTAATGACACTAACCTCGAACATTGATCAACTCATCACATGATCAGTATTGACCTTTCACGTGATGAATATTGACTCGTCTGCTAGAAAACAAGATGTTGTCTGGTACAAACATTTTATGATTTGCAGCTAAGTTCCTGTAATGAAACAGAGGACAGTCTTAAGATTCCATAAACTTTAAAGTCAATTTCAGTATAACAAAACGAATGATTATTCGGTCTGGACAAAACACCTTGGGTTGTCTGGTCCTTGTTTTTGCATCTTGACCTCGTCAAGAGTAATTATTTGTATAAAGTATTCCTGGTGATTTACAAATTAACAACCAGCAATGTTGCAGGTCAACTGTCCGAGATCTACAGTGAGATGAAAGGTCTGTCAAGACCAGAGCGAGACCCGTACGCCTGTTGTGTGTCACCCCTACAGTTGGAGTTTGTCTCGGCCACAAACCGAGTGTCCACCCCCGGCAAGGTCAAGGACTTGATCAGACTCCTCAAGTATTGGATCAAGGTATCTCAGCATGAAATGTGCCACAGAGTTAATGATATTATTGTTATGTTGAGTTAACAGCACTAAATAGAATTGCAAACACAAAAAGTAATATGATTGACACTACCAGACTGATAGAGTCTTCCTATGTCTGTGTAAGTTTGAGAATGTCCACTGATAGGGTCTTCCTATGTTTGTGTAAGGTTGAGGATGTCCTGCTGATAGGGTCTTGCTATGTTTGTGTAAGGTTGAGGACATTACACTGATAGAGTCTCCCTATGTCTGTGTAAGGTTGAGGACATTACACTTATAGAGTCTTCCTATGTTCGTGTAAGTTTGAGGACGTCCACTGGTAGAAATGTTCCGTGAGTAACGTCTCCATTTCCAGGTTGAGGACGTCCCACTGCGGTCCTACTTCCTGGAGCTGCTGGTGGTCCGGCAGTGGAGGGAGGCGGGCACCCCCCAGGACATCGACCTCGAAGGCTGTTTGAGGGATGTCATCAAACAGCTGATAGACTGTAAAACCATGGCCATTGCTTTCAGTGACCACTATGATTACAAGGATTACAGAAAAAAACTGTAAGTAATATCAATGATGTGCATAAATTTCACAGAGTTTCTATGCATGTTAGAAATAGAATTGATGATTTTCCACCCTGTGGGCAATTCCGTATGTGACATCAGTGTGCTTAAACTGTGTTGAATGTCTACCACCTTTATATTGGCCACCACATTCAGTTTCAATAGTGGCTGTTGTTTTGCTGTCTTTGATGCCACAGGTCTTCTGTGGTTACACCATCATGAAGCCCTGATGGTGATCCCATTATCAACTACGGGAATGTCTAGCCTGACTCTAATACCCAACTTTTGCATTGCTGACTATGGCATAAAACAACACTCATTCGTCTTGATGGGTTCTGGCTGTGGCGTAGTGGTTAAAGTGTTTGCTCGTCACGGCGAAGGATGGGGTCGATTCCTTTCCTGGGTACTATGTGAGAAGCCAGTTTCTGAGTTTCTAATGTCCCCTGCCGTGATATTGCTGGAATATTGCTACAAGCAGCATAAAACTCACTCACTCTTGATGGCTTACCCTCGATCTTGCTTTTCATTCTTGAATTGAGCAAACTGTTACTGGTGTATAATTCTTCAATTGCTGACTATTCATTTTTCTCCTTTAGGGAGCCCCCTTTCCTGCTGGACCCAGCTAACCCATTCCGGAATGTGGCACCAGTTAGCAAGCGGGAAGTTGAGATGACGGCGCGAAAAGCAGCAACTCTCCTGAAGAGATGGGAGGAGGCATGAGGCTGACTAACAGTGCATCTTACTTGCAACAACCATCACACATGATTGCTGATATTTGATTACTGGAGATTGTAATGTATAGAAGCCACACCATTACATCCAGAGAACATGATGCATGTCATGAGAGATATTAAATCTTGACTGTCACGTACATCTGAGTGAGTGAGTGAGTATGGTCTTACACTGCTTTTAGCAATTCCAGCAATATCACAGCAGGGACACCAGAAATGTCGGGAATCGGAACCCCGTTCATCTGAGCCCCAACTATTGGGGGGGGGGGGGTGGTGGGGTAGTATTTCATTTGAGCAATACAGTGCATTTCAATATATGGGCTCAGTATTAGACTGGAAATAGCTGTCTCATATTTAAACATACAGGTGGATTTTGTCAAAGCAATCAAGGCAATTTATGAGAACTAAAAATGAAAATAAAAAGGATGCAAGATAAACAGTGTTTAGTTGTTGAGGGACGGTTTAGTGTGACTGACTGATGGTCAATCTGCAGCTCAATGTTGGGATTGCAGGTTAAAATAGGTCCCCAGCAACCTTTGCTTGTTCTGAGAGGCGACCAAGTGGATCAAGATTTTCTGGACTTCAGGTCAATACAGACAGAATTAAAGTTATCTGGATTGGATCCCAAAAGAGATCCCGTTATAATCTATGTAAAGAATGGAAGGTGGATTGATCACAGACAAACTTTGAATTATTAGGTATAGATTTTGATGTTGAACTCCAAGAAATCGTTAATTTGAATTTTACAGATAAACTTAAAAAATAGAAAATGAAATGAATTTATGGTCCATTCGAACTTTGACACCAGTAGGAGTGAGTGAGTGAGTTGGATTTTACGCCGCTTTTAGCAATATTCCAGCAATATCACGGTGGGGGACACCAGAAATGGGCTTCACACATTGTACCCATGTCGGGAATCGAACCCGGGTCTTCGGCGTGACGAGCGAACGCTTTAACCACTAGGGTACCCGACCGCCCGACACCAGTAGGAAGAAATGTAGTATTGAAATCTCTACTGATACCAAATTTAAATCTCCTTTCCTCGTCCATTCAGATCATATGATACAAACTTTTCAGAAAATATGTTTCCACTCTGTATGGAAAGGGAAAAAAGATAAATTTAAAATAAATTCCCAGTCATTATCCCCTGAATATAGAGGTATTAATGTACCAGCGATTAAAGATGTTACTGTGGCTCAAAAGATTCCGTGGATTTGAAGACTTTATATGACAAGATAATGTGTCCATTTGGGCAGCTTTATTGACACACAGTATCAACATTTGGCAAAATCATTTACATCACTAAACATATCATTCCTAATACTTCAAGCATATTTTGGAGTAATGTACTAAAAGTATGGGCCCTATATTTGAATAAATGTTATGAAAAGACAAACAGTTATATTGTGCTGGCAAGTCAATCTATTTGGTGTAATTATAGTATTACAATAGGTTGAAAACAAATCTGCTTTGTGTTATGTGTCGATTCCCAAATTAAAACATGTTAACCCAGAAATCTGTACATAAAAGAATTTAGCGCGAAACCAACAAACAACCAACAAGTGTTATAAAATCAACTAATGTATACTCTTCAAAAAACGAAATGCAATACGGATATTTTTGGCCATAAAAGCAAAATTAGCAGACAAATAGGTGGAAAATGAAATGTGTTATAGTGTCAGTGACAAACGTCCAGTTTTAAAATGATCACAACAAGGACATGCAAACCATTAGTCGGGAAAACACGTGCAGAAAAATGCACCCAGTGCATTAACAAAAGGGCCATGGAGCTGCATGTACTGCACGTGCAGCAGCACTATGAACAGTGTAAGAGTGCAGACATTTTGATTGCCTGGCATCTGCGTCAATCGAACAATGACAGTTCCACAACATGCCAAGATGAACAGAAGTGCAAAGGAACAATGTCTAAGCCGCTTGCAGGCAGGGATATCCAGATCAGCTGTCGCCTGGGTTTTCAATGTAGCTCCAAGCACCATCACAAGGCTTTGGGATCGGTTTCAACAGCATTCGTCAACACATGATCGGTAAAGGTTGGAACGACCAAGAGTAACCACCCCCGCCCAAGATCGCTACATCCGACTGCGCCACCTACGTGAAAGGACGACCACAGCCACCTCAACCATATCCAAAATACCCCGACTGTGCAGAATCTCCGACCAGACCGTACGACACCGTTTAAGAGCAGCAGGTCTGCGAGCAAGACCTCATGTTTGACGCGGTATATTGAGTCGACAACATCGTCAACACAGGGTATGATCTCAACTGCGATGGAGATATGTGTGGCTCAACGACGAATCAAGATTTCTCCTCCATGGAGGGGATGGAAGAGTACGGGTCTAGAGACGTCGGGGAGAATGTTATGCCAGAAACTGCGTACAGGAAGTGGACAGGTTTGGTTAGGGTAGCGTTATCTCTCATCATGGCAGGACAGGTTTGGTCCATATCCAGGGTAATCTTACGACTCAAAGATACATCAACTTAATTCTCATACCACACGTCCTTCCAATTGCAGCCAACGGCAACAGTGTATCACAGCAGGACAACACTCGACAGCATACAGCATGGATCACAAGAGCCTGCCTACACAACAACAACGTTGGTATTCTCCCCGGGCCCTCCAGATCCCCGGATTTGAACCCGATAGAGCACCTGTGGGATGAATTGGATTGACGGCTACGTCGACGTCAACCACAACCCCTGACGTTGCAGCAGTTGACTTTTGCGTTGCAGGCCGAGTGGGCTACCATTCCCAAGGATGTGATTCGCATACTCGTCTCTTCCATGGAGAATTCCCGGCCGATATCAATTCCAACCGGGGACATAAGCGTCATTGATGGTAGCTGACCTTCACCTTGGACATTTCTATGTACCGATAACTGAGATGACTACAATCAACAAGTGTTGTGGAGCGTTTCTCTTTTTTTGAAGAATATATTACAAAATTAACTAAGTTTACAAATCAAAACAAATTACTGCACAGCAATTACAATGGCAGTACACAACAGAGTGAGTGGTAGCACAATATTCAATGGCAGTATATAATATGATGGTAGTGGTCAGTATCAAATACCAAAAATACAGTGGTTGTAGCAAAAGGCATTGATAATAATCCTAGTGTATATTCACCAAGTGGTCAATCTTTCGAAATGGGCTAGGCAGGAAATCTGGGATGATGAGTGAAAGCTGGTTCCGATGTGATGAGTGAGTTGGGTTTAACGCCGCTTTTAACAGTATTCCATTTATATCGCGGCGTGTCAGCTTAATGTGGGAGGAAAGCCCGAAGTGACGCAGGTCTTAGACGTATACCACTTAGGTGAAACCCACGAGCACGGGTATGGGGCTGACAAAACTAGAAACATAATCGGGGCAGACCGGGATTCGAACCCACAATCATAGGTTTCTGGCGTGCCCAAGGGACGCAACTCTGCACAGCGAATCGCGGCGCCTTAGACGACTGGGCCACCCGTGCCCCCGTCCGATGTGATAAAATATGTGAGAGTTACGTAGACACGCTATTGCCCCCTCATATACATATACCTGACTGATATCATGAGCATCGATCCCCGCAATTGAGATACCATGACATGCACCAACCAGGTCAGCGAACCTGACCACCCGATCCCGTTAGTCGCCTCTTACGACAAGCATATGGGTTACTGAAGACCTATTCTACCCCGGATCTGCCCGGGTCTGACGGAAAGCAATGACACACCCACGAGAAAGACCCTCGTCTTGTGATTCAACACTTGGTACAGAGTGTTCACTGCCGTGATACGGACTATTTAACTAAAAGCGGCGTAGGCCTATCTCATTCACTCGTTATCTTTCAGTTGTCAGGATGTTTTGTTTTTTTTTAAATGGTATTACAACTGTCCTGAATACACCTTTCGTTACGACGACAGTTTAGTTGAGCTACACCTGGAACAGTTTACTGACTTTAGGTTCGGGGATTATAGACGAGGGAATCCTATCGTCCGATCACACAACGTGTTTATATATTTAGATCTGCATAGTAAGACGTGAAATCGATGAGCTGTTTAAATAATTTGTAATTTATAAGTTCGTCTTTTTAAACACCATTCAAATCTATTCTGAATCACCTCAATTCAAACCAATACAAAGACATTATTGACAACCAAAAACAGCCGTGGGCCTCGTTCAGCGAAGTATTGATGTCAACTTCCACTTTCGGTTTAGTTGTGATTAACAGGCGTGGTCGAGGCAGCGAGTAACCGCCACTACACTGTCAGCAGTGCTGATGTGGAAATTCTGTTCACTTTTACTTTCGTTTTAGTTGAGATAAATAGGCTTTGTCGACGCAACGTGTTCATTCCGCTAGCCTGTCTTGATCTCCACGTCTAACTTTTGACTGCAGAGAGTGAACACGATACTCCACAGACAATGAAGATACACACACATGTCCTGCTGCTGTTGACAGCTCACCTGGTCTTTCTCTCGACACTGGCAGGTACGTTGATGTCCTACAGCAACACTTTACCGTATTTCCTCCACACAGGAGAACCGCGGCGTGAAGTAAAAAGTGACATTCATTTAAAGCAGACATTTTTCCGATGAACGTATAATGGGAAAGTCGTCAATTTCGATATATTTTGATAATGCAGACTGTTTCATTAGGTTATACCAGTATTTCGTAATACCGTAACGCCTGAAGTCCAGTGTCTCGCAGTTACCTTTACATCTGATGTCCAGCGTGTGTCAGTTACCTTTACGTTGGATGTCGAGCGTTTCTTAGTTACCTTTACGTCGGATGTTCAGCGTTTCTTAGTTACCTTTACGTCGGATGTCCAGCCTTTCTTAGTTACCTTTACGTCGGATGTCCAGCGTTTCTTAGTTACCTTTACGTCGGATGTCGAGCGTTTCTAAGTTACCTTTACGTCGGATGTCGAGCGTTTCTTTGTTACCTTTACGTCGGATGTCCAGCGTTTCTTAGTTACCTTTACGTCGGATGTCGAGCGTTTCTTAGTTACCTTTACGTCGGATGACCAGCGTTTCTTAGTTACCTTTACGTCGGATGTCGAGCGTTTCTTAGTTACCTTTACGTCGGATATCCAGCGTTTCTTTGTTACCTTTACGTCGGATGTCCAGCGTTTCTTTGTTACCTTTACGTCGGATGTCCAGCGTTTCTTTGTTACCTTCACGTCGGATGTCCAGCGTTTCTTTGTTACCTTTACGTCGGATGTCGAGCGTTTCTTAGTTACCTTTACGTCGGATGTCCAGCATTACTTGGTAACCTTTACGTCGGATGTCCAGCGTTTCTTTGTTACCTTTACGTCGGATGTACAGCATTACTTGGTTACTTTTACGTCGGATGTCCTGCATTACTTTGTTACCTTTACGTCGGATGTCCAGCATTTCTTAGCCCCTTACGCCGGAAATCCAGCGTTTGTTAGTTACCTTTACCATACTGTTTATTACTTTGTTTTCTAGATGCTAAGAAGAGGTCCAACAGCATCAGGAGTGGGAGCATGGTAAGTTGAGAAACTATTCACACGTCCTCAAGGCTGACTCATTGACGCACTTCAATGAGTTAAGAAGTTTTGAAAGATAACACTGTATGTGTCACGTCCACCATGCTAGAATAACGACCGCCCTGCAAGAGTCACGCCCACCCTGCCAGAATCACGCCCACCCTGCAAGAGTCACGCCCACCCTGCCAGAATCACGCCCACCCTGCAAGAGTCACGCCCACCCTGCCAGAATCACGCCCATCCTGCAAGAGTCACGCCCACCCTACCAGAATCACGCCACTCCTGCGAGAGTCACGCCCACCCTACCAGAATCACGCCCATCCTGCTAGAATAATGGCCACTCTGCTAGAATAACGACCACCCTGCTAGAATTACCGCCACCCGATCAATATCATGGCAGCCAGTTCCCTTTCATGTACGACACGTATCGTACCACCCCTGCAATCATGTCCACGGTTAATGTGAAGCTGATGCCAGCTGTGTCTGTTGCAGGGTCCACCCATCAGACTCGACACCGACAACCCTCTTCTGCCGGGCATGACCCACGGGGAGACGCTCACCAAGTTTATAGACAGGAAAATACGCCCGACCACAAAGTTTAACAAGCGATGTGCCAAGATAATCGACGAACTTGTCCGCACGCTAGAGGCAAGGTCAAGCCCCTTCAACATCAAGGGAATTGTAAAGGTACACGCAAGTTCATACGTTGGTAATATTAGTCAGTCAAGCATATCCATCTCTGCAGAGCTGAAACGCTCTTATACGAAACCCAATGACAACAGTCATTCTGTCAAAGTCCACTTCACGGTCGAATCCCACAGCCCACAGTAAGTGAGGTGAAATGGGGTTCGCGTTCAAGATAATTGCACTTGTGTTTGTGTGTGTGTGTGTGTGTGTGTGTGTGTGTGTGTGCGTGCGTGCGTGCGTGCGTGCGTGCACGAGTCTTCGTGCGCGCGTGTGGCTGCTTGTGCTAGTCCGGACTAATGCAAATTTTATAGTGCTAGCCAACTGAGATACCATGCCGCGCAATTGGGAAACGATGACATGCATCAACCAGTTCAGCGAGCCTGGTCGACAAGCATGGGTTGCTGAAGACTTGTTCTTACCAGGATCTTCATGGGTCGTATTGCATTTGTCTAACACCCGGCTGTTTGTATTCAGGGTGGGTCGCTGGGCAAGGGCACATCCGTGACGGACAGGTCGGACATCGACCTCGTTATCTTCTTCAACGACTACAATACCGTCAAGGGTCTAATGAAGTACAAGGATAAACTGCTGAAGGAGCTCAAGACCTTTGTGGAAGACGAGTGGCCGGAGCACTTCATATACAAACAAACAACACCCTTCTCTGTCCAGTTCTACTTAAAGATCGACGAGGAGGATGCCGAGCACGAAGTGGACCTGCTACCGGCGCTAGACATCACCAAGAAAGGGCGTACGTCGCGTATAATATACGTACATAGTGGACGTAGCGTATGACATACGTTTAATATACGAACATAGTTGATGTAGCGAATAGCATACGTATAACATGCGTACATATTGGACGTAGCGTATAGCATACGTAAAATATGCGTACATATTGGACGTAGTGAATGGCATACGTATAATATACGTACATAATGGACGTAGCGTATAGAATACGTAAACTATAGGTACATAGTGGACGTAGCGTATAGCATACGTATAACATACGTACATAGTGGACGTAGCGTATAGCATACGTATAATATACGTACATAGTGGACGTAGCGTATAGCATATGTATAATTTAGGTACATAGTGGACGCAGCGTATAGCATACGTATAATATACGTACATAGTGGACATAGCGTATAGCATACGTATAGTATACGTACAAAGTGGACATAGCGTATAGCATACGTATAATATGCGTACATACTGGACGTAGTGTATAGCATACGTATAATATACGTACATAGTGGACGTAGCGTATGGCATACGTATAATTTAGGTACATAGTGGACGTAGCGTATAGCATACGTATAATATACGTACATAGTGGACGTAGCGTATAGCATACGTATAATATACGTACACAGTGGACGCAGCGTATAGCATACGTATAATTTAGGTACATAGTGGACGTAGCGTATAGCATACGTATAACATACGTACATAGTGGACATAGCGTATAGCATACGTATAGTATACGTACAAAGTGGACATAGCATATAGCATACGTATAATATACGTACATAGTGGACATAGCGTATAGCATACGTATAGTATACGTACAAAGTTGACGTAGCGTATGGCATACGTATAATATACGTACATAGTTGATGTAGCGTATAGCATACGTATAGTATACGTACATAGTGGACGTAGCGTATGGCATACGTATAATATACGTACATAGTGGATGTAGCGTATGGTATACGTATAATATATGTACATAGTGGACGTAGCGTATGGCATACGTATAATATGCGTACATAGTGGATGTAGCGTATGGTATACGTATAACATACGTACATAGTGGACGTAGCGTATGGCATACGTATAATATATGTACATAGTGGACGTAGCGTATGGCATACGTGTGATATAGGTACAGAGTTGACATAGTTTATCTTGTGTATCTAAATATTCGAACCTAATTGGGCAGTGTTGTTTGGAATCTGACATACGAACAGCTGTTTCATGAACAATCTTTGAACTTAGGCTCTGCGTCTTGTATCTGTCAGGCATTTTCTTCAGCACATGATTATATGTTTATCTGAACATTGTGACGGACAGTTGGTATTAGCGGCTTAGTAAGTCCTCCTGTGTTTGCAGGTAAGCTGTCGGAGATTTATCAGGAGATGCTGGATCAGGTGCCCAAGGTCCGGGACCACTACTCCAGCTGTCTAAGTCCCCTACAACTCAAGTTCGTCACCCACACAGACGGGATGGCAACTCCGGGAAAGGTCAAGGACGTCATGCGACTTCTCAAATACTGGGCCAAGGTAAGAACCTCTACGCACAAGTATGTTGAAGGTTTAATTCCATTCGTTCATGCAGTCTTAGACGTAATGTTTAAAGTGAGTAAGTGAGGGTGGGTGAGTGGGTGTCTGAGTGGCTGGGTGTGTTGTTGAGTGCCTGAGTCAGTGTACGACCCCTCTCCACACAACAAGAAGGAAAAAAAGAAGAAAGAAAAGTGTCTGACAACCCATAAATTAGATTGCGGAAGAATTTGTCATTCGAACCAACGTCTAGCGGAACCTGCCACATGAAGGATTCAACGCTGGTGTCATGGAACCACAAGCAATACGCAATACAGCATTGACTTAGAAAGTTGGAATGTTTGCATATATTCTCATTCTTAGAGTGTTCTGTGAGAAACATCTCCTCATCAGGTGACCAGGTTGTCTGTCTAAAGTTGAAGACATCCACTGATAGAGTCTTGCTATGTCTGTGTATTGTTGAAGACAAGGACGTAAGGTTAAGGACGTCCACTGATAGAGTCTTGCTATGTCTGTGTAAGGTTGAGGACGTCCACTGATAGAGTCTTCCAATGTTTGTGTAAGGTTGAGGACGTCCACTGATAGAGTCTTGCTATGTCTGTGTAAGGTTGAAGACGTCCACTGATAGAGTCTTCCTATGTTAGTGTAAGGTTGAGGACGTTCCACTGATAGAGTCTTGCTTCAGTGTAAGGTTGAGGACATCCACTGATAGAGTCTTCCAATGTTTGTGTAAGGTTGAGGATGTCCTGCTGATAAAGTCTTGCTATGTCTGTGTAAGGTTGAGGACGTCCACTGATAAAGTCTTGCTATGTCTGTGTAAGGTTGAGGACGTCCACTGATAAAGTCTTACTATGTTTGTGTAAGGTTGAGGACGTTCCACTGATAGAGTCTTGCTATGTTTGTGTAAGGTTGAAGACGTCCACTGATAAAGTCTTGCTATGTCTGTGTAAGGTTGAGGACGTCCACTGATAAAGTCTTACTATGTCTGAGTAAGGTTGAGGACATCCACTGATAGAGTCTTCCAATGTTTGTGTAAGGTTGAAGACGTCCACTGATAAAGTCTTGCTATGTCTCTGTAAGGTTGAGGACGTCCACTGATAAAGTCTTACTATGTCTGTGTAAGGTTGAGGACGTTCCACTGATAGAGTCTTGCTATGACTGTGTAAGGTTGAGGACGTCCACTGATAGAGTCTTCCTATGTTTGTGTAAGGTTGAGGACGTCCACTGATAGAGTCTTTCTGTGTTTGTGTAAGGTTGAGGACGTTCCACTGAGGTCCTACTTCCTGGAGCTGCTGCTTGTCCAACAGTGGAGGGAGGATGGCAAGCTGGAGGACATCGACACGGAGGCCTATCTGTACCGGACCCTCAAACAACTCACACAGCAGAGAAAGATGGCGATCGCCTTCAGCGACAACTACAACTACATGGACTACGTCCCAAATATGTAAGTGACATAACTCAATTTCAGGTGAAAATAATCCTACAAATTCTACCAAAAGATACCGCTTCACACATCCTACGTGTATTTGCTTCCGTCCCATTTTTTGTTTCAGTAATCCCCACAAAGTCATGTCATTCCGATAGTGTTGTCGTCTATTTTTCTTTTATGCCGCTACGAACAGTACTTCAGCCTTTCGGTATAATTTTATGTTTGTGATTTAATAACGTGCGTTGTTTATAACAGTAAGACGCCGTTTCTACTTGATCCTGCCAACCCCTTCAAGAACGTGGCACCGTTGTCGAAGCACGAAGTCGACATCGTTGTGCGCAAGTCTGAGATCCTGTTGGAGAGAGGCTGGCCTGGGTCGCCCCATCTGTCAGATGAACTGTGACTCATGCTGGCCATATTGTCAGCGTCTTCATCTTGATGCAATACCAGGGGGCACATAAACCAGGGGCACATGAAGCAGGGGCACATGAACCAGGGGCACATAAATCAGGGGGCACATAAACCAGGGGCACATGAAGCAGGGGCACATGAAGCAGGGGCACATGAAGCAGGAGCACATGAACCAGGGGGCACATAAACCAGGGGCACATGAACCAGGGGCACTTGAAGCAGGGGCACATGAAGCAGGGGCACATGAAGCAGGGGCATATGAAGCAGGGGCACATGAACAAAGGGCACATGAACCAGAGGCACATGAACCAGAGGAACATGAACCAGGGGCACATGAATCAGGGGCACATGAACAAGGAGCACATGAACCAGGGGCACTTGAACCAGGGGCACATGAACCAGGGGCACATGAACAAAGGGCACATGAACCAGAGGCACATGAACCAGAGGAACAAGAACCAGGGGCACATGAATCAGGGGCACATGAACAAGGAGCACATGAACCAGGGGCACATGAACCGGGGGCACATGAACCAGGGGCACACGAACAAGAGGCACATGAACCAGGGACACATGAACCAGGGGCCCATGAACCAGGGACACATGAACCAGGGGTACATGAACCAGGGGCACATGAACCAGGGGCACATGAACAAAGGGGACATGAACCAGAGGCACATGAACCAAAGGCACATGAACCAGGGGCACATGAATCAGGGGCACATGAACTAGGGGCACATGAACCAGGGGCACTTGAACCAGGGGCACATGAACAAGGGGCACTTGAACCAGGGGCACATGGACAAGGGGCACTTGAACAAGGGGCACATGAACAAGGGGCACATGAACAAGGGGCACATGGACCAGAGGCACTTGAACCAGGGGCACTTGAACCATGGGTACATGAACCAGAGGCACATGAACCAGGGGAACATAAACCAGGGGCCCATGAACCAGGGGCCCATGAACCAGGGACACATGAACCAGGGGCATATGAACAAGGGACACATGAACAAGGGGCACATGAACCAGAGGCACTTGAACCAGTGGCACTTGAACCAGGGGCACATGAACTAGAGCCACATGAACCAGGGGCACATGAACCAGGGGCACATGAACCAGGGGCACATGAACCAGGGGCACATGAACCAGGGGCACACGAACAAGAGGCACATGAACAAGGGGCACATGAACCAGGGGCACATGAACCAGGGGCACATGAACCAGGGGCACATGAACCGGGGGCACATGAACCAGGGGCACATGAACCAGGGGCACACGAACAAGAGGCACATGAACCAGGGACACATGAACCAGGGGCCCATGAACTAGGGACACATGAACAAAGGGGACATGAACCAGAGGCACATGAACCAAAGGCACATGAACCAGGGGCACATGAATCAGGGGTACATGAACTAGGGGCACATGAACTAGAGGCACATGAACCAGGGGCACATGAACCAGGGGCACATGAACCAGGGGCACATGAACCAGGGGCACATGAACCGGGGGCACATGAACCAGGGGCACATGAACCAGGGGCACACGAACAAGAGGCACATGAACCAGGGACACATGAACCAGGGGCCCATGAACTAGGGACACATGAACAAAGGGGACATGAACCAGAGGCACATGAACCAAAGGCACATGAACCAGGGGCACATGAATCAGGGGCACATGAACCAGGGGCACACGAACAAGAGGCACATGAATCAGGGACACATGAACCAGGGGCCCATGAACTAGGGACACATGAACAAAGGGGACATGAACCAGAGGCACATGAACCAAAGGCACATGAACCAGGGGCACATGAATCAGGGGCACATGAACAAGGGGCACATGAACCAGGGGCACTTGAACCAGGGGCACATGAACCAGGGGCACATGAACAAGGGGCACATGAACCAGGGGCACTTGAACCAGGGGCACATGGACAAGGGGCACTTGAACCAGGGGCACATGAACAAGGGGCACATGAACAAGGGGCACATGGACCAGAGGCACTTGAACCAGGGGCACTTGAACCATGGGTACATGAACCAGAGGCACATGAACCAGGGGAACATAAACCAGGGGCCCATGAACCAGGGGCCCATGAACCAGGGACACATGAACCAGGGGCACATGAACAAGGGGCACATGAACAAGGGGCACATGAACCAGAGGCACTTGAACCAGTGGCACTTGAACCAGGGGCACATGAGTCCACTGAGGGAGTCGGTTAGGATAAGGATGTTTTGGTGGTTTTGTAATACAAGTTATATTGGCATTTGGTCATGTTTGGTGAGGATTTCATATCCATGTATGTATGTACATGGTGTCAACACATTGACAAATAAATGTAGTTTTGTTACTCGATGTTCGCGTTTTCCTTATTATCGGGTTGCATGAATGTACAGTGTGTTCCACTCACAGTGCACCACACAAAAAGTGCCTCACTTTTGGACTGTTCAAAATGGTCTCACAATGATTTAGACCCGTGAAGATCCGGGGTGGATAGGTCTTCAGCAACCCATTCTTGCCGTAAAAGGCGTCTATGCTTGTCGTGTGGGCGACTAACGGGATCGGGTCGTCAGGATCCTGACTAGGCTGAAGCATCGTATCCCAAATGTAAGGTTCGATGCTCATGATGTCAATCCCTGGTTTATCTCGTCCAGACTCGATTATATACAGACCTCCGTCAAATTGCTGGAATATTGCTGAGTGTGGCGTTAAACAACAAACAAACAAACAAACAAAACACAACGATTTGATTTCTTATGCTGGTATTTACATCACAATTTTATATCAGTGTCGAGTATCTGGTATATATGATCACAGTACATGATTAAATGCATCTAGTAACCGTTTAAACATTGAATGTATAAAGAATACAAGGTCATGGGGACTTCAATTAGTGATAGTCAAGCTAACTAAAGTTCTTCAGTGTCGACCGCCTCCGTAGTCTAGTGGATAGAGCGTCTGCTCGGAGAGCGAAGGTCGCCCTTTCGATTACATTAAGAGAGGGTAATAGTTGTTAACGTGCCTGGCACTCGGCATTAGGAGGATAAAACAACGACCTGTCACCTCGGAGTCAGTATGCTGTGTCTGAGTGGTGTATTCATGTTAAACTATGGTTGCCAGTGCTATAAATCTGGTATAAGTCCGGACTAGTACCAGCAGACACACGCAGGTGCATGGACGTCGCTGTATCAGTGCAATAATCTTGAACGCAACGTTAACACCGTTAAATTTAAGTCTCGTGTATCACATTACCAAATATTATCTGTCTGCAGTCGTGATAATTATCTAGACGTTACTCGTGTATGTTACCTATACAGAAGTTTATCCATTGTATTACATCTCAATAAACATTGCTGTATGAGGTAGTTACTTATACATGTATAGGTAACGGAACAAGCCGAGAGGTCCCGGGAAACATGGAACACATATAACAAATATGTTTACTGAGATGTCAACACACGAGACGTAAGGTGAAATGGGGTTGGATGATGTGATAGTCACGGGAATTAGCGAAACTAGTGAAAACAGTTCCAATATGGATTCCTCTTGATGAACGATGAAGTGTATGTTGATCTGATAACAACTTCTCGCTACTAATATTATTTTATTTTAACTTTCACAGGTTTATTATAGTGTAGACTGTTGGGGTGTGTGGGGTGTGGGGTGTGGGGTGTGTGTGTGTGTGTGTGTGTGTGTTAAACTGCAAAATCCATTGCACGATTCCAAATACATCATGAGCATGTGTTTATGATTCACTAACTATTGATGACACCGGGTGTTCTAAAACATGTGTTAATGAATCACTACTAGATAGTGATGACATCGGGTGTTCTCGAACATGTGTTTATGAATCACTACTAGATAGTGATGACACCGCGTGTTCTCGAACATGTGTTTATGAATCACTACTAGATAGTGATGACACCGGGTGTTCTCGAACATGTGTTTATGAATCATTAACTATTGATGACACCAGGTGTTCTCGAACATGTGTTTATGAATCACATCTAAATAGTGATGACACCGGGTGTTCTCGAACATGTGTTTATGAATCACTACTAGATAGTGATGACACCGGGTGTTCTCAAACATGTGTTTATGAATCACATCTAATTAGTGATGACACCGGGTGTTCTCGAACATGTGTTTATGAATCACATCTAATTAGTGATGACACCGGGTGTTCTCGAACATGTGTTTATGAATCACTAACTAGTGATGACACCAGGTGCTAAGGTAAATGTGAACAATACACTGGAACATAAGCAATGAGTTATACGCTTGGCATTTGGGAAAGGAGAAGAGACAGTCAACTAGGGTGAGTTTTTCTTCATGGGTAGAGGCCTGATCCCCCAGAGTTTACTGTCCCCGTAGTAGATGTAGCGCGTTACTTCACCAATAGTAGTGTTCATGTACTTGATGTTCTCTGGGGTCATGTCGTCGTAGCCGGCGTGGCCGTATGCGAGGACGTAGAGGTGTATGACGTAGTTGTCCCTCCTCCAGTTCCAAAGTTTGCCTTCTTCAAACAGGTACTCGCGCATCTTGTAGTTGGGCTTACACAAGGACGTCTCCTCGATGTGGATGAGGTTAGGTCTGCGGAGGGAGATGATGTTGGGGATGATGTTGGAGTGAGTCTGGAAGTCGTTTTGGAAGGTGGCGTATCGAGGGTACCAGATACGGAAGAAATCCGACCATGGTTTGCAGAACATCATGCCGTTAGCCAGAACGTACCACTCCTCGTGTCCAACAACGACGTCATACTTCAACAGAGGGTCGACAGGGTTTACCACGATTGAGTCAAAGTCAAAATACATGCCGCCATATTCCATCAAAGCTTCCATACGAATGACATCTGAAACATGAATTCCTCGCAGAATTATATGGCCATATATATGAGCGATTCGCTTCCTGTACACAAAAAACAAGTTGTTAACGCTCGTCACAGCCTGACGCCAGTAATGACCAGTGGGGAGGTTATTGTGCCAGAAGTATATCCGCAGTGGCCGGATGTGACGTTGAATAGCCATCATAGATAGCAGCTGGAAAAATTGAAATTCTACGCCTTTTTCATTAATCCACACTAGATGAACAATTCTGGGAACAACGTCGTGGTCGTTGGTGACGTTGACCTTGTAGTTGACACGCTGGTTTAACTGGTCGTAGAAGTCATAGAGCCGCGTGTATGTATAAATCACGTGACCGTCTCGAATGGCCAATGGACAGATGTTGGACTCAAGACAGTCCACGGGTAGTTCAACTGTAAGCGTGCGGTTCGGTTCTGCCTGCCTGTCTGTGAGCGTCTGTCTGCTCACATGTGGCGGCACAATGTCCGCGAGTAGTTTCAGGATCGTTAGAACACATATGGCAAATCCCAGCTTGAAGTAAAATCTTTTTCTCAGTAGCATCTTTTTGAGGGACTGAAAGTTTAAATATTTCAATTATTAATAGTTTTAATGTTAAAAACTGTGAAATATTTCATCGTACTTGGAGGTAATATAGATATTGTAGATATAGATTTCGGATTCAGATTCCTGATGGCAATATACACATATATGGCCTTCAGTACAAGGGGCCTCAAGCCCGAGTTACTGGCAAACGTGGTTAGTACATACCTGCTATATATACATATGTCCATATCATTATTATTCATACAAGTTATATTTCTAACTGTGACATTCACGCACATTAACAATGGATGAGTGAGTCAGTATGGCTTTACGCCGCTTTTAGCAAAATTCCAGCAATATCACGGCGGGGGCTTCACACTTTGTACCCATGTCTGGACTCGAACCCGGGTCTTCGGCGTGACGAGCAAACGCTTTAACCACTAGGCTACCCGACCGCCCCAATGGATCCAATGAACAATGGATGAAAAACAATGTCCGTCACAAAACGTTCTGATTGATCGTTGTTGATATACATGCGCGTGTACTTTATGTAGGGGCCATATGTCAGTAAGAATGGCGCAGATGCCTGTGAGAAAGATGACATTAGTTATGATCAAAGTAAGGAAACCAATTTAGCAAAGACGCACGGGGGAGATTAAAGCTACTGAGTATGACCAATGTGAAAACTTGTTAACCTCCAGTGACGTCATCGTATTGTTCACCAGTGGGGTTAAATCTCATAAATAGGTATATAGAGGTTATCACGCGAGTGTGTTTGGGGATATTTACCATCCCCAAACACACATGCGTGATAACCTCTTTATCATATAATGTCATTCTTTAATTCTGTGCTTTAAAATCGCTTTCCCTCTCTCACAAACATTACCGAAACATTGCGAGTTTTCCTGGATATGCGCATTAATATTTATTACGTCACAGGTTAAGTGATGTGTCAGTCGGACAGTGACAGTAGCCAATATAGTTCCAACTGAAATCTGGTTCTTATACAGTGGCGAAGCAACATGTACGCAAAACAACAGTTGTTTTTAATTGCCTTCCGCGGCAATCCATCGGTCTGTCCGCTAGAGTAACTGCCCTTTGTCAAAGGGAAGCTACTCCAACCCTAGTCTATGAGACGTCACGGCCACGGTCAGACGTTGTTGACAGTCGGTCTGTCCTGTCATAACGTTAAGAAGTGTACTCAGGTGTACACACAGCGACAAAACGAAACAAGGTAACAATTCAAACATATTTCGGCCAAATCCAACTGTTTTAATTTGTGGAGAAGGGTTCAAGCCGCAGAGGTCTACAAGCACAGATATGGCTACTGATCCCGCTTCGCTAGGCCTCGTGCCCCCGCAAAATTGTTTCGAAACATATATCTCCAAAGTTGCCAAAATTTATAAAATGCCTTAGCTACGTCACAGTTAGACACTGATTTTCAGTATATTAGACTGTTCTTTTGATAATGAGAGCAATTATCCATGATGTTTATCCAGATTCCCGATGGTTAATTCTGACTCGATCGCCGAATGACGAGGACGACGCCATGTTTGTTTATAAACAGTGAAAGTAGTCCTACTTGACCTTTGATGTTTGCATCTCTATCTGCATATGACCCCAACGGATATCGTTTTTATCCGCTGTAGACTATTTGCTTTATCCTGCCGAGAAACCTACCCATTATATGATAAATATTGTTAACCTATAGAAAGTGTGTTCTGTGTTGTGATTGGCTAATTTGGGTCACATGACCAAATGTCAAAGGGTGAAAATATAATTTGAATTCCCTGAAGCAAGCGACCGAATCACTGTGTAGGAAATAGAGATTACTACACTAGTGTCTGTCAGATACCATTGATCTTACGAGTTGTTTCAAAACGTATCTAACGAGCGAAAGCGAGTTGTAAGATCAATGGTATCTGACAGGCACGAGTGCAGTAATCTGTTTCTTTCACACCCCAAAAT